CACCCGTCTTGATGCTGGACTGACAAGCGACTGAACCTTTTGGCCAATGTGCGAAACGAACATCTTGGCCGTAACAGAGCCCAACTGTGAGCAGTAAAGCGGTATCGGCGCAGAATTCCGTCTAATAGTTCTTCATGCCGACCAGAAAAATATTACTACAACAGTATCTGTAGGTCCATCACACAATGTTCCACAAGGTTGCCTTAGAATCTTCATTAGGGGGACGAGAGTGGTCGACCTGTAGACGCTCTATCCAGATTGGCTGGCCTTCTGACCAATCAAGGCACAAATTCGCTCAGTCCGTAGCTCGTATGTGACGCACCCGTTCAACGGACGTCATGCTGTCATTAGGTGGCGCATGCCTTCCAAACACACTCCAGAATCATTTGTTTTCTGTTATGACAATACATGGTTTTCGGTTACAAATTTGCCCACAGTATTCCTTGGTATCTATTATACCCCTACGGTTTCCCATCTGTTCCAGCAGCAAGTCTGTGACCAAGCTACTTCACTTATTCAATTTCATGCCGACCCTCCATCTCGCCGGTGTTGAAATCGAGTTCCCTCACGAGCCATACGACTGTCAGTTGACCTATATGCATAATCTGTTGGAATCATTACAACTGGTAGAATGGTTTGTTTTATTATGTGTGCTGTAACGACAGGGTAAACATGCCATTCTGGAATCACCTACTGGAACGGGCAAGACTCTCTGTTTGCTATGTACTTCACTGGCTTGGTTGTCATCAGTCGCGTCTGCTTCGAGGAACACTTCCACCAGCCTTTCCGATGGTGAGCACCTTCACTTTGCATTCATTTAGTTACAGCTGACGCCTGTACATCTTTTCTCGACCGTTCGAAAGTAGTGTTTGCCTCCAGAACACATTCCCAGCTCGCGCAAGCCATTAAAGTGCTCAAACGTACCTCTTACTCCAAGTTAGTTTTATTCTGTTTCTGGTCTACTGACTTTGGAAACTGGTTGCCCACTGAACATGTTGTTTCAGGTGTTTGGTATGGGTGATTTTGATCTTAAGTGAGGTCTTTGTGGTTCAGGTCGTTATTCAGTTTTCTTAGGCGGCTATCTGATTGATAACTTTATAGTGCCACTCATTCTTCCGCAAACCGACCCCTTAGGATACTTTGTTTCCAGGTTCTACAGATTTGTCGTCCGACATCAGAGAATGTGAGAATAGACTATACAAACATTGGAGGCGGTGGCCTAGATACTTCAAAGGTGCATACTTTTAATGGGAAATTAGAAATAGCTGTCCTTTTGTGGTGGCGGACTCGACACATTTGCGCAATGTCTACCAACTTCACTCCATCCGGAGAGATTGTAGTTGCCAGTACGATGGGGCGTACTGGTGGCTCACATATTTCGTTCTAATTCATTACCTGGTCACCTACTCCTCTTCACCATGTGCATGGTGAGTAGAGAAGTGTCATGTATGGCAGACGGTTCTCTGGCACACTAAGTCTAGCCTATGGAGTGATTAGCTCGTCGGTTGGGAGGGAGCCGATTCTCTCCCAGAGTTTATGACCTGGTGCCACAAGCAGATATAGAAGCACTGGTGGTAAGACTGTCAAGCCTCTCCTGTCCTATGCGCACAAAGGCGATGTCATCCATTGTTAGTTGTGAGGTTGTACGAGGTCTGGGACACTACCAGGGCGCATACACCTAGACGCCCATAGAGCACTCAGTCGGACTGATTCAGGGTAAACCGTGATCTTAACAGATGGACTGACATCGCACCGCACCATAGATGTTGGAGATTGGCAAAAACAACATTACTAACCTTCCAGATTTTAAGAATCCTTTTGTATTTCGCCAGTTCGCCGGGGTTTATACAAATGTATGGATAAATGAATTTATGTATCCTGTCGGTTATCTGTCAAAATTTAAGCTTGACCTCGTCCACTTTTGCGGTAGCCCTTAGCATTTTGCAGGTGCACACTGTCCCTAATGGTGGAGCAGAAATATTTGGATTGTTTAAGGGTGTTCGCACTTCTGAAGCATCCAATCCAAGAAGTGCGGTATCATCAGCGTATTCTTTGTCAGTGAGCGAGCGCTCCGAATGGATTTTTACCCCATATGTGCCGTAGATACAGACGAAAGCTTCTAGTAGCATGCACTGACAAATTTGAAGAGAAATCAAGCGAGAGTAGCCTTAGGGAAATATTTTCCCAGGTACATAGCGAACGCAGATGTTGGCTTACTATGCCTTTATAAAGAACACGAATACATAGGTAACTTCCTTCCTTCTCTGTCACTGCTTCGAAAAAGTCTAGGAAAGTTCTCAGATCTGGAGAAACGACCATTGTCGAAAGAACTGGCGCTGGTATCTATCTCGAGGTGAAGGCATGGTAACTGCATCCGCCGTTACAAGGACACTGAACATTATCGTGTTGTGACCCCTCGCGTGGCTTTGTGATCCACTGGAATGTAATTGCTTTTATTCGTATAGAATTCTCAGGGTTTTGCACCACAGTCATTCGGCAGAGATAAAAGTAAAACCGTTTTATGCTTCCCCAGGTTAGAGTTAAAACATGTGTTGCGAACTTTTCTTTAAAAGTAGTGGTCTTACAGCGATCAGCGCTGCATTACCGTAGAGCTTTTAGGCCTGATGCTTTGGCTGAGAGGCGTAACTATCATTCCGTCTAGTTTTGATTCATTGATAGTGTTAGCCCACACGAACTTGAACCGTACATGTACCAAAAGTCACATCATATCGACCACCGCGGGGTGCGGTCGACCGGGTGGCCTTGATTCATACAACAAGCAGGGTAAGCGAAAATAGGCCATCGCTGGAACGTCCCATTGTTATCTGATTTTGTCTCTTCACTCCCTATCCCATTTAGCGATGAGTTTTCTGAAAATTCCGGCAGTATATATGTCAGTTTGGTGCCCAGGGAAGTGATTAATAGCATAAAGCTGTTCATCTGTGTTGCTTCGCATCTAGTTCTCCAACTTCATTCATCTGTTTTTCTCACAGTTTTCAGTATACGAATAGTTGAGCAAATCGGCCAGCTAGCTGCTGCAGCACCCACCCTTGACGCTATCGACAGACAGGTACTGTGTCCCAAAAAATCTACCAGATCCGAGTGCGATAATCGAACCAATGGCATTTTAGATACTTAGACGCCACTGCCTACAAAATTCAGGCGATTCTGCAGCTACTGCTGGCTCCACCGGGCTGTCGGCTCGCGGCCGCTCCACTTAGTCTGATCTCCGTAAACAGCTGACCATGTGCCGTTTGTCATTTTTTAAAAGAACGCGCACTGTCCAAAATAATATCCATTCGTTACTTGTGGTTTTTGCGCACAAATTAGACAACCGTAGTTCTGTAGGTCTGACTGCAGCTTTGACCCTGGGACTCAATTCATCAACGGTTTGTGACACTGGTAGACATGGCTCAGTCATGCATTCAGTGGCGCCCCTGAGATAAACCCATAGACTTCCATGCTTAGCTGTGCACTTCCATTCCTCTAAATAACTAGACTGATTGTGAACTAAATGATAATGCCATCGCGTCTAATACTTATCTGTATCTCCCATTTTGTGGCTACCGAAACTTTAACAGTTTGAACCCATGTACCCTTGATACAAGTCTTGTAGCTGATAGATCGAACTAAACGGAGCTGACCATTCACTTGAAAACGACTTCCCTTTGTCAGTGGTTGCATATCTGTTTAGTTCGACTGTTTGGAGATTTCTTCTGTGAGGTGTCATTGGAAATAGTGCTCTATATTGACGTTCAACGAAGAGAATAGCTAGGGCAAGTCACTACAATTTTTGGCCGTTAAGCAGCCAAAGTATATTTTACACTGAGTTAGGCGGTTTGTAAATATGCAATCACGTTCATTATTTGACGATTCCCACAACTTTCTTGCGATTGTCATCTCACTTGTGTTCGCTACTTTTCTTCGCAGCCGGAACGTGAGTGTGATCGGTTCGCGTGATCAACTGTGTTTACTTCCGGAGGTCACTTCATTAGACTCAAGCTCGGCAAAAGTCTTTGCTTGCCGGGGCCGAGTTCAAACACGAACATGCGACTACTATAGGAACTTTGACAGTGAGTTCTCAATTTTCATCTTCCATAGCTGTCCATAGTTTTACCGCACGGAGGTTTTCCTTCTAAACTTTAAGACACAAGTGAAACGGAAATCAGATGGCTTTGTGACAGTGTTGGATGACCAAGAGCTCAATCTGCACACGTTTGGTAGAGAAACTAGTGTATTCTCATACGTAGTCTCGAGTATTTCGCTCAGCTAGAATCAATCGGTCAATTCAGAACACAATAGACAACTCTGCTGTCAGTTTTGTGAGGTCGTGGGTTATTTTTGCTATGCGCGACATTTGTAGTTACCTGGACACATCTTTGCTAGCTTATCGATCAGACACATTGCTAGGCCTTCATATGTTTTGTTCCTGCTTCAGTGTTGTATGCAGGAAATAGTGTAAATAAATTTGACATTTAGGAGCAGTTTGTTGGAAATTATGTCTTTTCCAGCTTGAAATCCTGACTAATTATCACATTGCTCAACCGGGAGGCTGATACGACCTACTTTGTAGCTTAAAATGTACTGTTTTTCTAACCTACGTGCAAGGAGTACCTCTCTATGGGTCTTTCTCCTGCAAACCACTTTTTTGAATGGCGCGAAGAAAGTTTACCAGATGAAGAATAAGCTTTTCTTTGGAGGTACTTAGTTCTTTCGTATCGACAGTGTCAATATTATTTGAGTTGTATTCGGTCCGCCTCCACTGCCATTTGCTAGACGGTTTTTTCATGAACCCAAGTAGGCAGTGACCATACGATGTTAGAAACACCGGTTCTCGTCTAATCCCCGAAGTTAAGCAAAGTTGGGCCCAGTTAGTACTTGCATGAGCGACCGGCTGGGAATACTGGGCGTTGTGGTCGTATCTCCGGCCACGAAGAGACTGGACCTTACCGTGGTGTGGCGGTTTGTGTACCTCAGCGACCCGTTGAGCTATATTGGGGGGGGGTATCCCCGCGACACTCATAGTCTCCGCTTGGCCAATGGTTAGAGGTCTGAAAAACACAGTCTTCTGGTCCTCCAAGTTGGGGGTTGGAACATGTAGCGATGTTCCATAGAAATGGTGTTCTATTTGCATATCCCACCAAACACCGCTGCCTTGCGGTCAGGCTTTTGAGCCAAAGGCTTTGGTTGAGGGCACTAATCGTCCTCCTGTCTAGGCCTGAGCGCCCTGACATTATCCCAGCACACTTACAACAATGACACGTACATGTCACATCGGCCGTTACAACATTGAAGCATCGCTGTTGAACAATGATGTCATGCCGTCGATGATGATGATGACCCCAAGTGGCTCCCACTTCGTTATATTACCCACACATATCTGTCTCTATCAATTACGCCGTAGGGTAATTGATTGTCTATCCTGAACTCTGTTCAGTATGTCCAAAGCAGTTATTTCGGTGCGCTAAACTTTAGTATTGACATTGGAAAGCATGCGGAAAGTCACTATCCGCGATTGTTAAGGGGTTGTTCCAAATTACAAAGATGGTACTATATGTGTGCTTTTGTATGTGTGTATGTGAGATGCTGGAAAGCCTATTGCGGTATCTCACGGATGCTTCAGGAAAAGTCAAAAGTCATTGTGGGTTAAGGGATTGGTATTGAGGGTCTCATATGCTCAGATCAGTAAGTAAAAATAAATTGTTCAGCTGTAACACCCTTTCGGTGCCTAGCTGCCATGCCACCCGAAGGAAGAACGAGGGCTTGGATACTGCCAGGTTGCCTAAGCCTAGACAGGAGAAGTCGAGAGGCAAAGGTTGGGTTCGAACAACGGACTCTCCGGTCAGTAAATTCGCGCTCTAACCACCTGGGCCATCTCACCCCTTATTGTACCATTTCTCTCGGATTTGAAGCCCCATTAAGTTCAAGGGCTGGTTTCACTTTCATCCTCACTGAGTTGGTTTTTCTGTTATTAGGATGAAATTCATATGGAATGCCTTGGAGCTCACAGCGAACCCTGTTTTGGGAGTTTGAAGCATCGGAAAATTCTAATAGTAAATTAAGGTAAAGAAGATTGAATTAGGTCGGGTAATAACGAATCAGTACTTTTGAATTTGGGATGGGGCGATTGAATACAGTAGATCTGATGATGTCCCAACGTTTTGTAACTGAACGTTTGCAAACAGGACACAACACTCAGCAACCACCAGCTAACACACCAGAGCTACCAGCTTTTCGATACATTGTCAATACTAGACCTCTGAATGCAATTGATGTAGGCGTTTACATATCTAGTTCATGTGAGAAGATGGTCTGAATCTTTTGATTTGATGCGGGTTCGCCTTTTGACACTTTTGACTTTTGCTTGGATATGACGTCCGACCTGCTAGGCCGCAGAGAAATTATGTAGAGCAAATGTGCAGCATCGCTGGCGTCATAGTTGGGTCCACGAGGTGATTCGTCTACGCTTTTGTTTCACAGCCATTATCTAGCCAGCCGTCTTAGAAGGCCGCAAACTGGATTACCGAGTTCCACTCATCATCCGTCATTGCACTCTATCGGGGAGACTTTGTCGATACGTAATGCGTAGCACTATCCCACCAGAGATTAGATACAGACAAGCTTATTGGGAGTACTTAAGTGAAGTGCAAGGGAATTCACATTCTTCCGCATTACACGTAAGTCTTTGGCGTTTTCTGCTTAGGCACTTTTGACAGTTACATATGGAGCGCGACATGTTCACATTAGCATCGTAGCTTCTGTTAATGTATAATCGTACATATCTAAATTTGTCTCTACCTCTATACCTCAGTGAAGCGCGACAGCTTGATGAACACTATCAAAGCGGAAGGTGTAGTTGACATAGAAGATCTGGTCAAGTTGGGTAAATCGACAAGGTACGTCATCTCTCTAGCTGAATGTGCTTCATCTTAAAGGCTTTTCTCGACTTCGCGCAAGTTTTTATTAAATGCTTCTATTAATTTCGGTGGAAATCCGTTTTCGTTTTCTGCTTTCTCCAGCTGCTGTCCTTACTACATGTCCAGGGAATTGAAGACGAATGCGGAAATCATCTTCACGCCGTACAACTACTTGTTGGACCCTAAGGTATTTTTCCTGTAAATCAACTTACACTTTTTTTGGCGTGACTAACCATTTACGAGCTCATGTATTTCCAATTAAATATCAAGTTTAATCATTTGGAGTGAAATTGCTTAAATGGATTTTTGTAACTGTCCAGGTGATGTTCTGCATGGATGTTTAGGCTTATGTTGCAAGTGGGCGTTTGTGTTCCTGTGATTTGGTAATTCTGTTTACGGGTAATGGACAGAGAGGTCAAAATAGGCAAGCAATCCATGGAATTCGATGGATGGCTCAATTCAGTCCGTCCTATCTGACGGAGATATTGTGAAATCACATGCTGTGAATGTAGTTCGGCTGTAGTTCATGGAACGCTTCAGCGGTAACTGATTTCAAGTATCTCAGTCTCATATGAACGCTTCCGTTGTGTTTCAGTTTGATTACCTTTTCTACCCGTACTCACAGTTCAGTAGTGATTTTATACTGTCAGTGTAGCCAATCTATGCTGAAAAGCGAGATGGACCAAGTGGTTAGATTGCGAATTTACTGACCGGAGGGTCCGTGGTTCGGACCCGACCTCTGCCTCTCGACTTTCCCTGTCTAAGCTTGGGGAATCTGGCAGTATCCTAACCCTCTTGCCTTTTCGTGTGGGATGGCAGCTAGGCACTGAAAGGGTGTTACAGCTGAATGGTTTTATTTATTTATTTACAAGACGTATTATAATGTCACACTCATCTGTTTGTTCTGTCTTGGCGGCCGCAATACTGGTGATATCAACAACCCTGTGGCTGATGTAATATATCCATGCGACCGTCAGTCTTTTTTGGCGTTGCTTGTATTAGTTCTTTGTCTGAAGTTTCGTATGGGGGTGATGTCTGAGTACTACAACTACGTGAGATGTAGTCAGTCCACCATCATAATTGGGGACCCAAGTGGTTGCTCCAAACAGCAGTTTTTCTGCTAAAAATCTTGAGAAAAACCGTGTTGTGCACTTATCATCCTTACTATTCGTTATCTTCACATCTACACTCTCTTCTTGATTCAGATACGAAAACTTTACAATATCGAACTCCAAAACACTGCTGTCATCTTCGACGAAGCTCATAACATTGTAAGCTCTTCATGGTTCACCTTATATGCTTACTTCTTGTCCAAAACTCCTGGTCACGCAAGTCGAACAACAGCTGAATACTAGTGTATATCCACGCACAAATGCTTGATGCAGCAATATTTTTATATGACGTATTGTAGTTCGATCATCGCATCCCAAGCAGGTCCGTTTTCCGCTGATTCATGGAATCTCAGCACGTTCTGGAAGTCAGGCTAATGTTGAGTTGGATGATTTTATAAAGTGAACGCGTTTAAGAAGCTACGTAACGAGCACTGGGTTGTGTCGCAGTCATCGGTTAAAATCTGCACAACTAGTTTTTATATAAAACTGGAAAGAATGGTACAGGAACATCGTTGCGCCGATGCATAGGTTTTTTTTCTCACTGTCAGCATAACCCATTAGACTTCTTCAGAAGGCGCACTCTCTGTTCAAGATTAGTTGTAAACTCATGATATGAGGGCTTTCATTACGAACAGCTACCATTTCCCTTAGCATTTGTTATCCACAGGCGATTATAGCTCCAGTAGATGAAAATACCTGAATAGGACCTTCACGTGAGAGGTTACTGATTCATCAAAAGAGCCTAGATTATTGGTTAATTGGATAATGAGTACCCACGCATGAGGTTTCATTCGTGAAGAACGATCGGAGCTACTCCGGCCGGAAATCATTCCCATCCGCTATACCCGGATGCCGTTGCAAGTGTTTCGGATGTCAAAGGTGGTACTCAAATCATTATGATCATCGTGACCCTAGAGCATGCAGTTGGTTGATTGTCCATTTTATTGCTAATTTTGCTTGCCTAGTGTTGATTTGGTAATCCGTTTCGCGTCAGTCAGTTCACCGATAGATTTCCCTTTATTCTCTCCCACAGGAACAAGTTTGTGAAGACGCTGCTTCAGTGAACCTCAGTTCGAGTGTTCTAGCTGCAGCAATTGAGTATCTTCGTGTAGTTTGTGAGGTGGTATTCAGTCTAACTGCACAGACCCAACTAAATGACGCAGTTCCAACAGAAGATGTGCTGGATGCGCAAAGTTTGGCTTCGTATGATATTTCTCGAGCTGGTGAAGATAAATGTAAGTTGACCAGACGACTTTCCATCCCGTTGGTTCCTCGCGGATAAATTACTCTGTCTATGGCTACCGATGTCGATAGTAGGATTTTCCACTTGCGCGATGTGGGAATGGTTACCCTATGATCGAATGTTTCTGAAAGCTTCCCAAAAATACAGGCATATTGCTTGAATGTTCCGTGTCGCAGCCATCCAAGTGACCAGATTGTTTGAAGCTATTCTGATACTGATTACGAAGGTGTCAAGTGATCTATTGCATGTTTATCAGCGGACAGCAGCGTTGTCTGTACGTGTGGCATATCTCGACATTCAGAATGCTGTGAGGAACGTAGAGGCTATTCTACTGATACTGATAGTAAATGGTGGAAACGCACTGTTTTGTTGCAGTGTACCCACTGTTCTCTTTTTACCTATGGTGTGTTCCGGTCCCCATCGTTAGGAAGATGTAAGTCCAATAGCTTCTACGGCTACTTTGCAATGACAGCAGAATGTGGATCCTTCCAATAGCTGGTGACAGTTCTACTGCTTTGTTCATATTATTCGCTTGTAAGGAATCAGTGCACATGCATTGCACTGAATCCACTGCACTTAGAACCGACTAATAGACTTTCCTTGTGTTTTACATTTCAGTATCTTCACTCAGTCTTGAGAGGCTCCTGACACTCAAAGGTACTTCGGTCATAGCTTATCCTCCTGTTGTCATTACAAGGTCAACTGATTGAGCTTGAACGCCTGATTGATGAGCTTCAAGTTGGAGCTGACGGGTTTAGCAAATCGAGCGAGTAAGTTTATCTCATTAAATTGCTTTATCATGCACAGGCTACAAAAATTCCGTTTTTTGCTCCCCAGAATCGGTGGATTGAAATTTACAAGGAATCCTTCGAAAATGCGGACATGCAGCGCTTCACTGGTGTCTAAGAGCTAACTGTGTGATAATAAATAGGAGATATTTCGTTTTAGTTTCTTTGGTCTGCAGGTACAAAACCAGATCTTCCGCGGAAGCTGTTACGTTTTGATAACTTGATGTAGTTGCACCATCGTGAAACCCTGCTGTTCATTACTGTAATTTTGCTTTGAATCATGGTGTGGGTGATACACTTTGCAAAAACGAAGCTCGGTCGGAGCTACGTTGTTGAGCGAGTCGTCAGCGTCTTCTTGGGCACGACTACTCCTTGTTCTTTTACATTTATGTGAGCCGTTCATCAAAGCTCCTTTTCTCAGGTGATAGGCATCCTTCTCTGTTACTCCAAGAACTACCACCGCCAGAACCCATAGAAGCCTTATGTGGTCCGCCGCCACATGCCCCTGGTTGGGTCTGTGGTTTTGTTTGCTTGTTTGCTTATCTGTTTTTTTCCCAGCCGGTCACTTTTATCAGACGATTTCATTATGAATAGCGACTCAGCGCCAAGATTTCCGTGGATAAATCAAGTTTATCGAAAGTGCCTTTTGAGGTATGAAGTAACCAAATCTGCGACGATGCTGGAATTAACTTTCTATGACAACCCTTGGGTAGACCAAAGTAGACCGTTTTGGTCTGCAGATGACCCGTCTGGGTGTTGTGGGCATTCCGGAGTTTTAAGCCCACAGCAGTGTGACCAATGGTGTATGAATCAAACCGGCTAATGAGTTTCCGTCGGTATGGTTGAATGTAACGGGCAAATCCGAAAACGGATGCCTACCCTTTAATATGGTACATATGGCCTTTCGAAGTATTTTTCCGGCGGCCGACTACTACCGCACGCAGTTGATTTCATAGAACAACAGGTGATTGGTGATAGACGGTTAATATTTGTATGGACCAAATAAGTGATTCCTTTATGCAGTATACCCCTCCTGTCGGGGATGTAAGACTTCAGACAACCAACGTGACTGATGTGTCGTCCCTCGTAGGGAGAGCGGTGAAGTTGTTCAGACACCGTCGTACATCCTGTCTATAATCTCTAGTGCTTCCAACCTAAATAATTGGAATTGGTGAAAGGTGAAAATGCAAGCCTGCTCGATTGGTCCTTCTTTCCAACTGTGGTATTAGTTCGTGGTGATCTGTGTCTCAGCTCTCTAGAAATGATACGTATTTTCGCAAAGGTAACTAATTCAATCACCACTTATGAATGACACTTTTGACCGGCCGCGGTTTTTACTGAATAGCAAGGTGTACTGATCGAGCACTCCTGGTTTGAATCCACTATCGGCTTTTTGAATGCCCTGCGTGGGCTTGGCCAAGCTGGAAATATCCCATGAGCTTTCGAGCTGTATAAAAATAGTGCACGGAAAGGGCACCACGGTCGCTCCAGACAGCTAAACATAAGGTGATGATGGTTCCTGATTCAAAACCCTGTTTAAGGAGAATAACCTTTAGAGATAGGATCGCTTTTCTTATCTTTAATCGCCCTGCTGTTGTTCTTCTACCCTCTAGTTTTATGTTTGATCTGCTTGCTCGTGCTGGATTTAATGCGCATACCAAAGAGATGGCTTTGTCAACCATAGAAGAAGTCCTTTCAGTTGCAGCGGCTGCCGAAAGTACGTTTTCTTTGCACCTTGTTCCTACCGTGCACTTAAGTATTAACATATACTTCTACTGTAGTATGCCTTTTCGGATGACCTGGGTGGTGTTCGGACGGTTCGTGTTTGCCTTAGTCAAAATGTCTGATTCATGGGGCGAAATCTCACTTTTTGACTTATTGCTTTCTAATTGCTGATGCAGTTATCTTGACGATTGGTTTGTAGTTTCTAACGTTCTTGTAAGTAAGAATCATCTGGTAACACACTAAAACGTGTTTGTTCCTCTTCCAGATCTGAAGCTTCGTAAACCGAAGGGGATCAGTGAAATTTCCGAGTTTCTGAAGGTAATTTTTATTCTTATTCACTCTATCGCCGATTTCTTTCAGGTGGTTTTCGACAGCAAGAACGTGTCACCACACTCAAATATCTTCTCTCTCCTGCGTCTGCCTGGTGTGGATTATTCGCACTGTTATCGTGTGTTCGCAAAAGATGAGCAGTTGGCAAACAGGGGCCGTGTGACTGCAGATCGAGTCTGGGATTCCCGTGGGGTTGGATCCAATCAGCCCGTTACCGACCGCACTTTAAGCTATTGGTGTCTGAGCCCTGGTCGGTGAGTGTGTGATGCGATTTCCTTTATGAAGGCAATAGGTACTTCTAGTATGTCCCTGAATCATCAACTCTTATAAGCCGAAATATTAGTAGCTTGGGCGCACTTGTAGGTTGTGGGTCGAATGGCTGTTGATCTGTTAGCCTAGCGCAACCTAATTGACAGACTGGGCGAATGAATCACCAACTGTCTGCTAGTTGCAACGGTTCCTAGATTGAGCGGCTTTGAAAAAAATCAATCCCATTGTGCTTGAAAGCTGGTCACAATCAGAAGGAAGCGCTCTCATGATTTCTGCAGTCAATCATGTCGTTGATATAGACGAAAAGTAGCGTATTCCTCGGTCGTCTCATGATTTATGCATTCGTTTTGAACGCCCCAGTTCTGACTGATTAAAACACATCATTTTGTGTGCTTTTCGCAGTATACCATCTAATTCTTGCTACGTTATCCTACCATTTAATTTAACACTGAAGAAAGTAACCGTTTTCCTGAATAAATGGCAAGGTTTGCTGCCAATTAGTTCTCGAATTCGGATAGTTACTTTCCCCTCCTTAACTATGTTCTAACCAAAAACTACCGACTATCTTTATGGTTCGCGGAATTCTGTGACTGTAAAAGCCCTTCCCTCCAGGTAGCGTATAAGTTGAAAATACGATCTGAATCGTCCTCAGTTGCAATGCTAAACCTGAACTCAGAGTTATTAGACTAAGGTGACTTTGCACTATCTCAGCTTGTAAGCTTCCTCTGAATATCTTGTTAATGGAGATCATAGGAGGTTGAGTGTATTTTTATTATAGTTTCCCACAATGCTACTACTATCTAACAAGATCTAATAACTACTCTCTTGCCGAGATGCCTTAGTGGTTAGAGCGCAAATTACTGACCGGAAGGTCTGTGATTGGAACCTTGCCTCTGCATCTCGACTCGTCCTGTCTAGGCTTGGGCATCCTGGCAGTATCCCAGCCAGGATGGCAACTGGTGGCAACTGAAAGACTGGCAGATCCGGATTACTGACCGGTCTGTGATTGGAACCTTGCCTCTGCATCTCGACTCGTCCTGTCTAGGCTTGGGCATCCTGGCAGTATCCCAGCCAGGATGGATGGTGGTGGCAACTGAAAGACTGGCAGATCCGGATGTCAGACGAACTTACAAGAATCGTCTTCTAGAGTCTCTTCCAAGTGCTCCACCATCAGATGTGAACTCATACTGGGACGAGATTGCTACCTCTTTGCACAGTGCTGGCAATTTTGCCTGTGGCACGACCCGACCAGGCGCACTGAAGCACTGGATATCAGACCGAACGGTGGCACTACTTAAATCTC